CTTCTGAAAACGTTCAGTATTTGTTTGTTTATTATCTATCATTATAACTTACTATGCCAATGATTAAAAGCATATCTCAAAATCATCTGAATTCAAGGCAAGTTCTTTCCATTTGGCTTTCCAGACTGCACTGGTTGTAAATCAAAGTTGTTCATCTTAATTAATCAAAATGGACAAAGGAGAATATCAAAATCATAGTAGCAGTGTGAGTGTCAATTTAACCTTTTTAACACAAAACAAAAACAACAGTCTGTACTCTCTTAAGACTATAAATACAGTGTACATCAGCCTAACAAATTATACTTGCACAGAAGGGTGTGATTAATAGAGGTCATGGGTTAAATCCTTACCGCTACTCGAGTCGCTCACAATTGAAGTCCGCCATCTCCGCAATGATGATTTTGGCGACAAGGCAACGCCTTAGTTAGGGCTCCCTGTGTAATGCGGTATATTGACTATCAAGTTTTGCTGGCTCAGAGGTTTTCAAACTGTGAAAACTTGGAGAGAAATGGCGATGAAAACACCTACTAAACAACTCAATTTTATTGATCCAAGAGTTTTGTTGTCAGGATATAAAGCAGTCATGTGAGTATTTATCGGTTTATTTTCAATTTAACAAAACAAAACAAGGATTTTTTCGTCGTAGTACATTGTATTTCAAAATCTATACGTCCATATCCCGCGTCCCAGTCCCGCGTCCCACGTCCCACGTCCCCGTCCCGGTTTTAGGCGATCCCGACAAATTCGACTGTCATCAGTGCACGATATCTCTCATAGCTAATGGCTTGCCACCGGTGTATTTCAGGAGGAGCCGACGGGGTCTGCTCTTCTAAATAACTGTTCTTGTACAAATTTTTTCCTGAGAAAGGGATTTTGAGTTACATTGTTGACAATCTCACAAGCAAATGCAAGTGGCGCCCTTCTAGCCTCCTTCGCAGGCAACTCTACTCCGTGGGGTTCCTCTGTTAAGGCAAAAAGCTGCCGGAGGGGGAGGGGCTAGGAAGGAAGGAAAAGCAGTTCTTGTCGGTCAAGAATATGAACACAGGAAGACCAAGAAGAGAAAAATGTCCGTTTCCGATGGAGTAAGCCTGCGAAGGAGCCTAGCACCCTTCCTTCTTTGAAATAATTTTGCTCCTGATAAACGTTTTAAAGGTCAAAAAAGGCTTATATAACGTTTTCATGGTCAAAAAACGGCTTATATTTTTTTTAGTTAGGATACTTAATATTTTCTTGGCAAAAATTCTTAGAAAGTATTCCTTGCCTGGTGAGTTCTTTTTTTTCTGATGAATTTATCGCTGGCAACCAGTTGTGACTTACAGCTGGCTGGGACATAGGAACATTTCTCCCAGGAACCCGTCGGCTCCTCCTAGTATATTTAGGACCTCACATTTTTTCCCGAAATGCCTGCAGCTGTTTCATGGCCTAGCAGATCTAGACGTCCTAGACACTCATTGCTGGTTTAATAATTCAATGTTAAACTCTGTGAATAGTTGCCTCTGACATGTTTTTATTTTCGGTTTCATAACTAAATGTGTCTTGTCAGACTGATAAAAGTCGTTGCATCGACCTTTTCATCAAAAGGTCTGTTAGAAGATCGTGAATAAGTCAACTAAACGTAACATTTCAATCATGAAGCCTGACCAAAACTCCAACGTATTCAATCCAATGTAAAATTGGACTCAAAACCAGTTCTCATATTTTATGACAATTAGCTGTGGTACTTGGGAATTTAAACTTTGATCCTTTTTCCTAACTACTGATTTTAGACTTAATAATGACATCATCCTAATCAATACCATTACTGTACATAAGCCTCGGGTTTCACACGGATTATCTTTCGTACTGCTTGGCAAGCGATCTTATGAAATAAAAGCGGACACTTTTCTGCACAAAACTCTTCGTAATGCTTGGGCTTTTCCAGCTTA